AACTTTTATACTTTTTGATGAAATGCTTTAATACTCAAAATATGTAGATATATTAATAGTGTTGACAAGATGACATGGTCATCATGGACATGCATGCACGTGCGCGCGCTTGCAATGCGTAAAATGACAGATATACTTAATATAGCCGAATTTTTTTTTTATCTTTTGATGAAATTTGAATATAAAGATGTATTAAAAGTGTAGACATGTTGACATGGTCATTTTGTACATGCTTGTCCGTGCGCGCGTGTGTAATGCGTAAAAAACCCAATATTCTTAATTGCCATATTTAATGAAGCTTACAGGGAATAAGACACCGAAACGAAGTTGGGGAGCGTTTGGGGAACATCTGTAACGGTCCCCGTTACAATTAATACTAGTTCATTTTGAGTTTATTTTAAATTCTTCTTCTCTGCTCCTTTTAAAAAATAAAGTATATAGTAATGATGAGCAAGGACGTCTCTTCATAAATTGTGAATCTGATGGCCCCTGTTAGGGATAGGGGTGGTTATCTTCTGAATATATTTCACTTGTATATATAGTTTTTAATGGTCAACTAGACGTTTAAATAATAAATGAAAATGGGATAAAGATACCTTATCTCTTAACGCAATCATTTTATAGGGTCCAAAGTTCAGGGAGCCCCGATAATTTCTTCTCCCCAATTGGGGCCTCTGTATCAAATGAGATGATAAGGTTACCGCGTGGTTCATAGACAAGTTAGCGTGGTTCAGAAGCAGACGTAATTTTCAATTCGCAATAATTTTTGGATATATGTGTTTATAAGTGATTAAGTGAGATTCGTGCATATAACTGATACTTGTGAAATTGGCTCTAAACCATTGCCATCAAATAAGCGTATAGACGCTGTTTTTGCGTATAGACGCAGTATTTTAGAACTGTCTAAATAGTGTTTGCAGTATGAGTACTGACAATGCAGATAACGTTTCTCCTGGAAATGACGAAAGGGAGAGGGGCGACAGTAGTGACAATACGAGCATAGTCGCCATGAGGAAAGAAATGCAGAAGAATATTGCATCTCTGACATCGACAGTTTGCGAACTCCAACAAAAAAGGGGTAAAAAACGAAAGGCTGAGGATGACAAACCAGGACCATCAGGTCGAGATCTCAGTGATGTGTCAGAAGACGAAGATAAATGTAGTGAGGCGATAAATGAAAAAACTAGCAAAAGGAGCCAATGATGGTCTTCGCTCAATTCTGGACGCAGACAAAATCAAAGAGTTGAGTGAAAAATACAACCGACCAAAAAACGTCCCAAATATCGTTACACCAAAATTAAACGAAGAAATCCGGGCGCAGTTAAGCCGGAAAATGCGTAGTCAGGACATTCGACTACAGAGAACTCAAACCCTGCTCGGGAAGGCAATTGTACCTGTGTTACAACAAATTAACTTGCTAGTTAAATCCAAACAAAAGGGCGAGATGCCATCAAGGAAGGAACTCTCAAACCTGGCTATGGACGGGCTTAAACTCATGGCTGTCGCGTATTGCGACTTGTCAAATAGAAGACGGGAATTGATTATCCAACCGGAGAGAAACGAAGAATTTCGCACATTATGCTCAAATGAACATCCAGTTACAGACAAACTGTTCGGCGACGATCTGGGAAAGAGAGTAAAAGATATAGTCAAAGAAAATAAAGTGGGAGCTAAGATCTCCGGACACCAAAAGTTTGATAAACGCGGATATCAGAACCGCAAGTTTCAGCAAGGACAGAGGTCTTCCTCAAGTTACAACCAACACTACAGAACCTAGAATTTTTTAGGCCAACGCTGGGGTCCCCAATACAGAAAGAAAACGACGACGACGAACAAGCAAAAGAAGTAAGCCAGAGAAATCTTCAAAACGTGAGTTACACAATACATGTCAAAATTTTACGGCTGGAAAAATTGCACTTTATTTTCAAAATTGGAAATTAATCACTAGCGATTCCAGGATTTTGGATTATGTCAAGGGATATTCAATTGAATTTGAAAACTTACCATCCCAAAATTTTATACCTAAAACAATTCAGTTTAATGAGTCAGAAATGGCTATAATTGACAGAGAGATAAATGATTTATTAGAGAAGAATATCATTGAACCAGTAACAAATTACGAAGAAAGGGAATTTATATCTAACATTTTCATGAGACCTAAGAAAAACGGAAAATTTAGAGTCATTCTTAATTTGAAACAATTAAATGATTGTGTTGAATATCACCATTTTAAGATGAAAACACTGTCTGCAGCTGTTGGTCTGGTGTTAAAAAACTGTTTTTTCGCTTCCATTGACTTACAAGATGCTTATTATTCTTGTCCTGTGTGCACAGAGGACAGAAAATATTTACGATTTTTATGGAACGATAGAAAATACCAGTATACTTGCTTAGCAATGGGGTTAGCATCGGCTCCCCGTATATTCACGAAACTGTTAAAACCGGTGTTTTCCACATTGAGGAAACGGGGGCATGCTAATATAGCTTATATTGACGAATCTTTGTTAGTGAGCAAAACAGAATTTGAATGCCGTAAAAATGTCAGGGAGACAGCTGGGCTTTTAGACAGCCTTGGATTAACTATAAACGTAGAGAAGTCGGTATTCACTCCAAGTAGAGCTATTCAATTTTTGGGATTTATAATAAATTCTGAATTGATGACAGTATCATTAACGCCAGATCGGGCTACATCGATAAGACAAAAGTGTGAGGAAATTCTGAAATTGCATCGAATTACGATAAGAGAATTTGCACAGTTAATTGGCAAATTAGTGTCAAGTGAGCCAGGTGTCCGCTATGCGCCTTTGTTTTATAAATCTCTTGAGATTGTTAAAGACAAAGAATTAAAAACAAATGCTGGTAATTTTGATGCAAAATTTGTGATTTCCGGTGAAATCAGGAAAACAATTACTTGGTGGATAAATAATGTTGAACGATTTCCTCGATTTATAAATATTGATAAACCAGTGTTAGTAATTAAAACAGACAGCTCGTTGGCAGGCTGGGGCATATTTAATGAAAACAACGGAGATTTTTATCAAGGAGAATGGTTAGATGAAGATAAAGAAAAGCATATCAATTTCTTGGAATTGAAAGTAGGATTAATTGCGTAATCAAAATTTTGTAATGATTTATAAAAGGGACATGTAAAACTTTACATGGATAACACGGTGGCCGTAACGTACATTTCAAAAATGGGAGGAAAAATTGAATCACTAAACGACTTGACAATTTCAATTTGGGAATTTTGTATGGCTAGAAATTTTTGGTTATCTGCAAGTCATATTGCAGGTGTTGAAAATATAGAGGCTGACTATTTATCGCGCCACAAAAATGATGACCTAGAATGGATGTTAGATAGGAAAATATTCTCACAAATAGAAAACTCGTCCGGGAAATGTGATATTGACTTGTTCGCTTCCAAGCATAATTTTCAATTCATGCCATACGTTTCTTACAGCCCAGACCAACATGCAAAAGCTATAGACGCTTTCAGCATGGACTGGAGTGACTTAATGTGTTACATATTTTGTCCTTTCAGTTTGATGGGATCAGTGCTGCAGAAAATTACTACCGACAGAGCAGAGGCGATAGTAATTGCTCCAATATGGCCGACACAGCATTGGTTTCCACGGCTGCTTCAAAGTCTGCAAGGACAGTTATCTGTTGCCGGACACTCAAAATCTTCTGACGATGCCGAACAAACCCGAGAAGTACTGAGAAAAATGAGACTGGGCGCATTCCGTGTATCGGGGAATCCTTCAAAAATCGAGGCTTATCAGATGACACTCAAAAAATTCTCTTATCTTCCTGGCGAGAGTCCACTAAAAACAATATAGGGCATATATCGAAAAATGGTTGTCATTTTGTAATAGCAGACAAATTAATGTATTTGAGGCAAATGTGAACAATGTTTTGTCATTTTTAACAGAATTATTTCAGTCAGGGTTAGGATACAGTTGTCTAAATACGGCTAGGAGCGCATTATCATCTTTTCTACAGTTAGAAAATTTTGTAAATATAGGTTCTCATCCGTTAATACGTAGGTTTATGAGAGGGGTATTTGTACTTAGACCTGCTCTTCCAAGATACAATGTTACCTAGCTGGGATGTAAATATTGTGTTAAAATATTTGAAATCATTGTGTCCTTTATCATCATTATCACTGTTACAATTATCTCGGAAACTGGTTATGTTACTTGCCTTACTTTCAGGGCAAAGGGGACAAACACTTCATTTGATTGATATTAGAAATGTTCATTTTCAAGAGAGTGGTGTAAAAATTGTTATAGGTGATCTTTTGAAAACTTCAAATACAAAAAGACACTTGGGTGAAATTGAGCTAACTAGCTACGAAGTCGATAAAGATTTGTGTGTGGTGAACACTTTGACTAATTATTTACAAAACACAGAGACTCTGCGAGGTGCCGTTACACGCTTGTTTATTACGTCACAACGACCGCACAAGTCAGTGTCCAGAGACACAATTGGCAGGTGGCTGAAGTCTGTTCTAAAGATGGCAGGAATTGATATTTCTATATTCAAATCTCATAGCACCAGGGTGGCTTCTGCGAGCGCTGCACACGCACTAAGAATCCCTGTTGATACAATTATGCGAACAGTGGGTTGGTCAAGAGAGTCAACATTAAGTTTTATAACAAAGAAGTTACTTTAAATGCTGACATTTGTGAAACGTTGTTAAAAAATTACAAGTGACTGTATATCATAAGTACGTAATTGTATATACATGTATAATTAAATTTTTCAGGATTTCTAGATAAAATTGTAAATGATCATTTCTGTTTTCATTATTAGAACTTAATTCCAAAAATCTGGATTTTATCTCTAAAGTCTCATTTGATACAGAGGCCCCAATTGGGGAGAAGAAATTTAAAAGTTAAACGAGACTTACCTGGAAGGTGAAGTTTGACTGTAATTTCTTCGACCCAGTTGGGTGCCGAGGGATCAAATGCCCAACCCGAAGGCAGATCCCACCCGTTATGACCTACTTTGTTAATATTAATCCAAACTTTTGTGCTCTGAAGTATGAACCACGCGGTAACCTTATCATCTCATTTGATCCCTCGGCACCCAATTGGGTCGAAGAAATTACAGTCAAACTTCACCTTCCAGGTAAGTCTCGTTTAACTTTTAAATTCAATTGGCGACGGAACTTTATTCCATTATGAATTCTGTCGACGATTATGCAAAACCTTGGAATAAATATAAAAAGGAAGACCTGAACACTTTGTCAAAATGGAGTGTTTTAGAAATATTTTAGGAATGACTCTAATTCTTGGCCAAATTATTCGAGTATAACCTGGTTTGGCTCAGTTTACGCTTTATAATCCTCGAAGCGGATTATAAAACAGCGTAAACTGACCCAAACCAGGTTATACTCGAATAATTTGGCCAAGAATTAGAGTCATTCCTTATAATTTAATTTTAAAATCATTAAATAACTATGGGTGTAAAATTTCGTTACTTTTTATTAGTTCAAATTTGCCGCTGAATAATACAACCATAGTAACGGAAGTGATGAGAATCGAGGGGAGGTAAAAACTGATACATAGGCCTAGCAGCCATGTTGTTTGGTTACATGTGGTAAGATCGAATTATTGTTTGAAATTAAAGGTACATTTATTAAATCTGGAATTTTCCATGAATCCCGAGGAGTGGAAATGAGAGGATAGTATGGATACAGACGATTCAGCTGGTTGTCGGGGGGGGGGGGGGGTGTTCCCGTACCAAACCAGGTTATACAGAAATAATTTGTGTTCCTTTTTGGATATTAACCAATCAGAGGCTAGAATACAAACAAAATTAAATTATTTTAAAGGTTTTTATTAGAAAATTAAAAGCAAAATGGGGACGCTTGCTCCTCCTAGGCATCTGATCCCACTTGTGGAATTTCTAGGGGTCTGTGTTTTATGCCCTCTTCATATATATGTATTGTTTGTGAATTTTTTTTAGATTGATCATTGTTCGTTTTCTTAACCTTTTACTCTGTATATCAAATATTCTTTAAAAACTAAGATGGATCAGTGAGTGAGGGAGAATGGTTTAATAATAGTGCTCAAGAATTATTGTTTTGTTTACTCCGCATGGAAATAGGAACAAATGGGAGCAAGTAGAAGCACGTAAGTGAATGAACTTTAAGATTTGTTGATGGGGTTAATGAGAATTGATTTAATCATCTTGCTGATTCCTGATCATCCAATTTCTCTTCCTTTTGGACAACAATGCTTCATTTATCAGCTTATTTGTTTTATTTTGTATTCATTTAATCAATGACTCCTTTACAATGTAACGTTACACCTAGGTGATCGTTAAGGCCCATGGGCCTTTTATTGTTATCAAAATGTTGCTTCTCATAACATCTTAACCATTTCATTAAAGTTTGCTTGCAGACTACATCAAAATAAGCAGCTCTTTTAATGGATGTTTAAATTTATCATTTGCAGTTCCAGTGGTCATTAAAAATATAAATAATTACTTTGAAACCCATTCAAAAAGCCACTTCTTATGTTCGGTTATTTTTTTTACACTCCCATATCACAACAAGTTGCACAATCCAATATATATTTGTTTTCATGTTGGTGAATGTTGCCATTTACAGTCAGGTATTTCCAACTTCTGAGTTTTAATGGTTCAAAGAAAAAAGATCGCATTTAATTTCTCACAGTTAAAGGTAGTGCACAATATATAGATAGGCCATTTTTCTCAAATAAATTCTATTTCACTCTTTGATATTTTGTTTTAGGATACATAATCTCTTTATTTGTAATATGAAAGAAAATTCAACCACACATTTTTGCTTAAATACTTTGAATTATGGCCTATCAGACCCCAATGAGAAGAATGTGAAAACATTCGACTTGAGAATTTGCATGACTTAAAAAATAACTATTTGACCTATTAAAAATTTGTGTTATGCTGTTTATAAGGGTAAATTTTTTGTTACTAAAATTTAATAAAATATATTAATAGCGATATATTTGAGTACAATTCGATGTAGAAATAGAACATATATGGCCAGGGAATAGCAAATCTACAAATAAATATGCTGGACTTTATTTACTCTTTAGAGAAAATGTATAATTCATTTTTTATAAAGAATCAGCTATGATTAAAATGAACTCGGATAAAAATCTGTAAATGTTTCAAAATGAGGAAACTTGAACCAGTGGCTTCAGAAATTTTGGCGATTAAAAAAAGTAATGCAGAAAAGGTAAAAGAAATAGAAGATGACGTCTCAATATTTGATCTTTTACATATCGATATGACTCTGAACTTTATTGTACGTGAAGAACGTAAACTCCTTATATCAGGTTTCTGTGATGAATGGATCAAAAGTTATTCTGCGTTTAATAACAGACTGTCATATTGCATGTAGATGGCATAACTCATACAAAAATGTAGACTACAGAATGACATATATAGAGTGTTTATTATTTCTTACAAAATAAAGTAAAGACATGTCATACTTATTATTTTTCTAAGAAAGATCATTGACATTTTATTGATTTTATTCTTTTTTCTTGGATGTTTTATAGGTAATGATTTAAACAGATTTTATGGGTGTTTTGCACTACATTTAAACTAACTAAAAATTGCAAAAAATTGTATAAGATGCCATACTTTGTAAGATGTGAGACATTAATATACAGCAATGTATGTCAGCGTAAACAGTACTATAAAAATTGTTTAAAATGGTTTAAATACAGTATTCTTGTTTTGAAAGTTAGAAATGCAATAAAGAGAATGCCTGAATGAAGATACATGAAAAGGATTTTATAATTGTCCTTAGCGACATTTTTTAAGAATTGAATAACTTATGAAGTAGTTAAAATATTTTCCTTTAAATTCCTTTACTTAACAATATTTTCCATTACAGCTATTGGAATGCATTCTTCCAAAAATATTTTTGCTCGGTATATATTTAAACAAATAACATTTTTTGCCAAAAAACTAATTACATCACAGAAGAATGGAAATTCTTTAATAAAGTAATAATGTATGGAATTCCTTCAACTGCCTATATCTGCTTGAATTTGGTTTAACTTCAATAAATTTTCTCCCAGAGTAACCACTTAACATTTCATATATAGTGACATTGCATGTGCACAATGCTGCTTAAAATAATCTTTTGAAATCTTTCAAAATGCTTTTTTCTTGGCTTATTAAAGTTCAAAAGTTAAAAGCATCAACATTTTGTAAATTTCTTGTCTAATGAAACATACCATTTTGTTTACATGCACAAATACATGTATATTGTCCCATCCGAGGTACCGGTCTCAATTTCTGAATTTGGCCCGGGATTCAAAAGCTGCGACAATTGTCTCAGTTCTTCCTCCCGCAATGGGACTCATCATTAAATGATACAAGCGACAATTTAAAGAAAATCACATGTTTGAATGGTTATGAGATCGTTGTAAGGTTAAACATTTAATTATAGTTGGGTCTCTTAATACTGTAATATCAAGGATTTGTCTACCTGTACCTTTTAATTTTGTATGACATTTTGTGTTTAAGATAATATTATTTTTTCTCAAAGGTAAATAAATATGTACATGTAAATATGTTTCAGAACCGATATTTCTTTTAGGTTGTACAAAAGGAACATACGGTAATTTGTGCAACATACATTGCTCTAAACATTGTCAAGAGAACAAATGTAATATCATCAACGGAACATGTCTAGGATGTATACCTGGATGGTCTGGAAAGTTCTGTCAAACACGTAAGGTCTTTTTACACTAATTCAGTAGTTGACTTCATTTTCGTCTGTATGCTTGCAAATCCTTAAACGTATCTTTATACATGCATTAACAGCATGCGCTAGTGGATCGTACGGTCAAGACTGCAAATTTCGCTGTTCGGAACACTGTCAGGATGGTAAAACCTGTAACCCAGTGACTGGAACCTGTGATGAAGGTTGCGCTTCCGGATGGACACGACCAAAGTGTAATGAATGTAAGTTTTCTGAATTTATTCATACTTACTCGGCTTAGAATTGAGATAGAATTAATCAAAAATGTTATTTAATCAGAGAATATTTTAATGGATTCACTTTTACTTGTTTTCATATTTACATGTAATTCTATTTTTGTTGAATCTCAAATACAGCATGCAGTTATGGGCATTATGGACCAAACTGTGCTTTAAACTGCAGTGGACATTGCTTAAATGGAAACACTTGTAACAAGGAAACAGGGCATTGCGACTCAGGATGTACACCTGGGTACGTCGGATATTTGTGTGATAGAGGTATATATAATTTTTAAATTTGATCACCTCATACATTTCAAATATACCAGTTTCCATTTTGATGATTTCCCCAAAACGAAATATCTCTTTATTTGTGTTTCCAATAGTATGTAACCAAGGCTGGTTTGGTGACAGATGTACTCAGCGTTGTAGTGGACATTGCATCAATAAGAAAACGTGTAACAATGTAGATGGTTATTGTCCAAATGGCTGTCAAAATGGCTATTTTGGGAATATGTGCGACAAATGTAATGTAAAATTTTAATGTGTATTTATAAACATTTTATGTGTACATTACTTTAAGGTTCTTATTTATCTTCTGTTCTATAATGACTAACATTTTCAATGAATGTTTCATTATAGCTTGTACGGCAGGTTTTTACGGTACAAACTGCTCTAAAACGTGCTCTCAGAATTGTAATGAAAAATGTAAACATACCGATGGATCCTGTTTGTGTAAAATTGGTTGGACGGGTTCCCCAAATTGCAGTTCAGGTAAATAAATGTTCATGTTTTCAAATGGATTTCTTTGCCGTTGATTTAGTTGAAATAACTGCGAACGATAGTATTGTTCTCCCGCCTACCTCAAAGTCAATTTTTAAAAGTTAACATATTTGAATGATTTTTCATATCTATATAGATATTTATATGAATTTTCATAAAACATTACTTCTTTGGAAAAACAAAGAGAGATAACTCTATAATTTTGGTAAAACTTGTGTTTTTCACTATAGAAATCAACGGAAAAAGGAAAATATTTTTCAAACATCTTCCCCCCTTCCCCCCCCCCCCCCCCCCCCCCGTGAAACAAAAATTCCTTTTTACAGGTAATATGGACTATCATTTCACAAATTCAAATACCAAATCTTTTTTGTGTTTCACGGGGGGGGGGGGGGGGGGTCATATGTTTACAGACAAAAAACTACAATTTTTTTCACCAATTTCAGAGGGGTTTATAACTAAAACATTGTATTTTATTAATAATATATATTTAATTTTATATGAGTAAAACATAAGAAAAGATTCAAGGAACATTTATTCATATCCAAGAATATTTTAAAATGTGGTGATGCTTTAAAGCCCGATTTCAATGAAAAAATATCGTCTACCCCCCTTATTTAAAGAGCTGGAATTAGGGGTAATTATTTAACACTGGTATTAAAATTATCAGTCAATTACAATTGAACTGTTCTTTGCATTTAAACAAAGATTTTACGGCCAAATTACCATTAGTATTGAATTAAATGGATGTAAAATGTAGGCGGGAATCGAGAGTTAGCGTGCGTAGTTCTTAAGTAAAAATATCGGCATCTATATATTCGAAAAAGCACTTATTTCATTCAATGCAAAGAGAACATAATATTGGAAGATTTATTTTTCTCACATTTTATATGAACTTAGCCAGATGTTCGTCTTTAGTTATCTTTCAAAAGAATTTCAAAACATTGAAATCAATAATGAATGAATGTTGTTTCTAAACTCGATATGCAGGTACTATATTTATTTCATGTTTCAATATGTTCCATAGAAATAAATTTAGCATAATTTTACCATTTTAGAATGCCCTCAGAATAGGTATGGTGTGGGCTGTATTCATTTCTGCAGCCCGAATTGTGTTAATGATACTTGTGATAGATTTAATGGAAGTTGTACAGAAGGTTGTAAAGAATCATATTTTGGAGAAAAATGTAGTGAAAGTAAGTGTAGAAATATAATGTTTTCCTGTTTGACTTGTCAAAAGCTTGAATAACGGTCATAATTTTATTTAGCAGCCTTCATAATCATGAAAATCTAAGACAAAAAAATTTTTACACGCACATGAAGTTTCTGATAGTGTTATTCCATGACTAAGCCAATAAAGACATATTAAGCAAAGTGTTCTTTATGATGAACGATGTTTTTGCAAAAGTTTTTATAGCATTGTTTCATGTCTTTTTACTTTATTTTGAAGAAGAGGGAACTTTTCGCCTTCACTCTGATAGTACGTCTGTGCAACCACTTACCATTGGTGCGGTTTTAGGAGCATTTGCCATAGTTATCATCCTAATTGCACTGCTTGCTTTATTTATGCGGTAATTTTTTTCTGAAATTTTTGTGAAATGCAGATATATAACAGTTCAATTTTACTTGTCATTTGCAAGGAAAAGCATAACGTTGCAATTATTCGGATTTTTTTATGCTAATTAAAATGGGTCATAAATCTTAAGAGTATTTGTGTCTTTATTTCATAGATTCCGACAAAGAATACACAAAGGAACCAGCAATGCTTCTGTACCGATACAAATGTCCACAGTAACATTCCAAAATCAAAAAGCTGCAGGTGCAAGTAAAATTCTTTTATTCATTTGAAGTTTATTTGATAGTTTATTCTTTACAAAAATGTAATAAAAATTGTTCTTAAAAACTTATGAATTGGACTTTCTGCCCTCTGAAATTTTGCTTGAAAATAATATACATGTATTTCGAAACCTTGAAAAATGAGTTCTTTATGTAAACAAATAACAATGTACCTTGCAAATGAAATATAAGATTAACGATTTTCGATAAAATAAGCGACTCACTATGTATTTAAATACTGTAAGTCGTTTTAATTCCATGATGTTAAAATTTCACGATTTCTCAAAAAGAACCAATAGCGATGGTTTAATTTCACGCTGCAAGAAATTAATTTAAATTTCGTATAAGCATTTAAACGTTTTGAAAACTAATGTTAGCATTCACTATGGGCTTAATTTCGCGGGAAAATGATGAATTGCGAAATTAAAACAATCGTGATTATTTGCCAATCTACAGTGCTGGGCCTTTCTTTAGTCTGATAAATATAAAAATAAACAAAATTTTTATGCACACATCAATAGCTAAAAAAGCAATATTTACAGTATGGATCAAAGATTTGATTTTTTTCCCTTCAGAGGCAGGTAAAATTTATATATTAAATTACAATTTCTTTTTCAGCATTTACAAAAAAGAAAAGTAAAGAAAGAAATGATCATCAATTACATAATGTCGAAGAAATGGCTAAGAGAGGCCCACCTACAAATAAAACCATTCTTACAAGGAATTTACAGACCATCATAGCCAAAATGTCTGCTGCTGAAAATGCTGGATTCAAACACGAATACCATGTATGATACATATGTTATATCAAATAATATAAATATAATTTTCCTTGAGTATTTACAATTTGAAATATGTTATGTACATGTTAGAATCAAACATTCGAATTTAAAAGTTATATGTTCCCATCTTTTAGCTTATGACGATTTTGTGCATTCATGTTGTGACATGAATGCAATATTTGACAAACTTTGAACAAAACAGTAATGTATGCAAACACACTTATAACGAATTGAAGCTTTTAGCGAAGTGATTTTCATTCCCCCATGACTTTAAAATATATTGTAAACTTATTATATTTAACGATTTACGCTTATAATAAAGCAAAATCGGCCTCCCAGGAACTTCGTTGTAGGTGCGTTTTATTGTATGTATACTTCGATATTTTCCGTGTTAAATATTTCCTTGAACTTTATAGGAAATTCCAAGAGGAGAATTGCTTTCCTGTGAAGAAGCTAAGAAGCCTGAAAATAAACCTAAAAACAGATACACGACTACATTTCCATGTAAAAATTACAACTACGGTATTCAGTGTACATATGAAATCATGTTCCCCTTTTTGTCATGAAAAGAATAAATTATATTGTGTTTTTGATGTTGTTTTATAGATGATCACTCCAGAGTTGTATTGAAAACCGCGTCTCCAAATGAAAGTGACTACATTAATGCTAATTATATTGAGGGAAGTATAATTATAACATTTTAAGGACCCAAACCGAATATGTACATAAATCTTTGTTGAAAAATAGGAAAAAAAGAATCTTCGTTGGCTTATGCTAGGGTAATGTGAGTTGTCTTGTGTTAAGAACAGAAGCGATACAATTTTTTTCACCATGAAAAATTTATTCCCAATAAACAGATTTTAATCCCTCGAATCATAATGCTTATAAAGTATTTGCTTTTTAAATTCATAAAAGTGTCCTCTGGTATGCTTTAGATGATATGTTTTGAAATGAATTTTAACTTCCTAGCTAATTTTGCATGCGTTTTATATTTACATTTTACGTCAATAGGATACACAGAGTAATCTCAAGTATATTGCAACTCAAGGTAACTTTATTTATGGATGTAAATATGATCACTAATAAATTACAAATATATATCTCCCTAATTGTCTTAAATTTTGAGAAATTTGCGTGATGGTGCTATTCAAAAAAATATAAATAATCATGTTTCAGGCCCAAAACCCAAAACAGTTGTTGACTTTTGGAGGATGGTGTGGCAGGAATGTGTAACCGTAATTGTTTGTCTGACAAATCTAAAAGAGGGGGCAAAGGTTTGTTGATTAATCATGAATAGCAACTAGATCACCGTAACGTTTTATCGTATGTATTTCATCGACGTAATCTGAATTACTTCCTGTTTGTGCGTTCATGTATATAGAAAAAAAAAGCTTTTTCATTTCACTTCAAGTTGTGTTATAACAGGAAGTTTATGTCTGTAATGTATAAGTAAAATTCAAAACATATTTATAAAATATTATTTATATAAAAAGGAGCCCCTTTGAATAAAAGGTAGTAGCTCAATGTTTCTTCTCAAAAGCTGTTCGCGGCTAGGATAAGGCTGTCCGTAAAATATCAAACTGTTCCAACTGTAGGAACTTCTCCGATCTACTTAGATATGACGTCATAATAGCATATGACGTCACGTCACCGCATACTTGAGCTAACATTTACATTCCTTTCACATGACATGTAAAGATTTTTTAGTATTGTTGTTTGAGTCAAGTGTCTTGATTGTTCTTTAAGCTTAAGTGAGCTTGTCATGGTGTTGTACATTTGCAATTTAATATCGTTATTCCTTTAACTTGTCCGATATACATATATTCAAACGATAACAAAAAATGACTGTGAAACGCTCCCACTTACACAGCCGTGTACAGAGTTAGAATTTATAAATCGTTTATATATGTGACTGGCACAGGTGATTAATATAAGGATAAATTTAAGATATTATTTGTGAATATACTAGAGAAGTATGTCCTTTTACTGGATTTTGCTGGGGGATTGTATGTTATTTATCCTATTTTCTATAAATTGCGATAAAGAGTGGAAAATGCCCCCTTGTACGTGGGTAAGTTGAATTTCTCGTGGAATATTTTCTCAAGAATTAAAATTCAGACTTGCCCCCAGCACTTTATATGTACCAAAGATCACAATTGACTTATGTGACAAATTTTTCTCAATAATGTTGTTTTGCACTTGTGCCCATGTGATTTTTATGCAACATTTAGGAATTTATAAGTGTCTGTCGCGAGATCAACAAAGTCATGTGACATCACATAAATGCATTATTATAATACCTGATTACACTCTTATCACAAGTTGACTGCAAATTCAAACAAAGATTACAAATTGAAATTAAAATCTAGCTCAAAATAAAATGTATATTTTAATGCATATTAAGCCTTCGGACAGCCTTAACATAGCTGCGTTTTTTAAAAAAAAATGTATGCAATTAATCCGCCACTTGAGTCAGTCAAATGAACTTCATCTGTTTTTGTCTGTCATCATGCGTTGTCGTTACTCCCTGAAACCTACATGTAAGGGATCCAGAAACATAAAACAACACTACAATCTGCAGAAATTGTCTTCTGTCTACGTGGCATTTAAAAACAAACTGTTTACATGATATTAATTATCAGAAAGCACTTAACTAAAATTGTAAAAGTTATTAGCCTTGGATTCAAGACTCAGGCTTAAGAGTGTGGTTAAAATTTGTCAGTCATTAAAAATGCATTACAAGTTAATCTTGCAGGCAAACTGCAGGCAACATGATTGCATAATTATAATATGTGCTTAACCTCTCATCAAAATTTCTTACATCCTTAGCATCTGAGTCGATGGGATTAATTAAACCCCACGCAAAAAGTTGCGTGAGGTATAATGTTTTTGACCCGTCCGTCAGTCAGTCAGTGTGTCAGTCAGTCAGTCAGTCAGTCCGTCAGTCCTGGTTTTATTGTCAGCGCAGATATTTAGGACACAATGTGTAGATGTGCATATTACCAGGAAATTCCGATTCCTTTATTTTTTTTTCTGGGAATTTCGGCACTTTTCAACTTAGATTTTTGGCCATATCTTGAATATAGAGATGAACAGTTTGTCAGCGCTACTCCTCTTAAACCGCTGCACAGAATTTGGTCAAACTTTGCAGATATTTAGTACACAGTGTGTAGATGTGCATATTACCAGGAAATTCCGATTCCATTATTTTTGCCTTAAGAGTTTTGACTATTATTGAAGAAACTTTCCAGCTAGGTGATAAGTCCAACCATTTTTTTTTATTAAATGATTTACTGGATTTTTTTTTTGAAAAATTGGGTCAGGGGGATAAATAAAAATAAAATTCCATATTTTACGCAGTCGATTAAAAAAAATAAAATTGGAATAAGTGTCTGATTTTTTTATTTTCAATTATCCAATAAAAAACTGCCAAATATATGGTTTGGAGCTTAAAATATGATAACCGCAAAACAAAAATTAAAGTAGACTATAAAACCCTCATGAGAAATGGGGGAAATCTAAGGAATTTCTTATCAAAATATTCATCATGACCAAAACAAGATGAACAAAGAAAAAAAAGTTTATACTGAGAACCTCACTATGCTTAAAGTACTGAAAAAATCATGAACCAACAAGTCAAAAATGGGGAAAAAATGTTATAAAGAGAATGCCAATATAATATAAAACCCAGAATCATGTTGAAAATGTGTATGTTACAATACAGCATATGGTTATGCATATTATTAAACTTCTGAAAGCTTGAAAGTATTCACACATTAAATAGCGTTTCGTTTGCAGTGTCTGTTTATATCTATTCTAAAACAACCGTATTTAACACACAACAAAATACTTCTGAATTTACAGTCTGCACAGTGCTACATTTGATCTTTTTAAAATGTTACAAGTTTGAAACGTTTCTTGGATATACATGCAAGTTAGATACGTCACATTTTATTCTTCACAAAATTCGAACGTCTATTTTCGATTTCCATTCTTTTATCACGTTCATCACAGGTATCAAAATTGTAAAGGAGAACTACTGTATACGGTACCCAAAGCGAAAGTGACAGTCCTGTCAACATATCCTCTAGTAAAATTATGCTGATCATTTCTTTTTTAACTCCTACTTAAATTCGTCATTGGACATACTATAATTGATTTTTCCTATTAGCTATGGTTGACTTGGAAAAACTATCGTGTATAAGGACAAAGTATTCTCAACTTTTGTAAAATTTGACATTTCTGCATCAATGTTGGCACGTTTTATACACTTCCAAAACGGTTGATAACAAACGTAAATTGATTGGATGATAATAATGGCTTTTAATAAAGCAGCCAATCAGAATTGCCGACTTATTTGCATATCATTTTATTTTCTTAGTGCACTTGCATTGACTATCGGCGGGAAATTTAAAAATAAAATCAACAACATGGACTTTTATTTTTATTTGGTTTTAGCTGAAATTACAGTCGGCGCTCCCGTAAATCATTTTATTAAAAAATGTTGGCTTAAGGAAATCCACTGAAATCAGCTTTTGTAATGAAATTTTATGTGAAATATTTTATGACCTTAAAAGACCTCTATTGATTTTGAGATCAAAATATTAATGATTTAACACACACACACACACACACACACACACACACAAAATCTTGGATAGTTCTCATCCTCCCCCACCCCCACCCCCACCCCCTTAAATTGGCGCTTTGCCTTAAATAATTTCATTAATACAGTATATAAACAAATTCATATGAGTAAATCATAATTTTGTTTCCATCAATTATTTAAATGTGTAAATTGTCTTGTGTTGGACATGGACTTCACATGGAAATCACTGAGGAATTTAAATAACAGTTTGTCAGCATAACTTCTGCACTGAATTTCCTGAAACTTTGTAGGTATTTCAGACGTAATGTATAGATTTGTATATGCTTGATTTTATAAAAGAATAAAACATTTTTATTAAATGTCATCAAATAGATAACCTGTTAAATATAATTAACTTCAGATATCTGGAAAAAAAAGTGAAATTCATGGTCCTCTGACGCATAGTTCAGTCCGAGATGTCAAAGTTGGTGGAATTAAAAAATTATAATATTCTAGGAATTCGAAGTCTTCAAAGCAAATTCTTTAAGTATTTGTAAGAAACAGATAGTTTTCTACAGTCATAGGTATACAAGTCACCCCACTCCTTTCGGACCTGTCAACAATTTTTTTAAACATTTAAACATTTTTTTTTATATATTTTGAGGTCTCAAACATCTATAAATTTATGTTAATACTTTTTCTTCTTATTTTTTATCCATGTAGGTAATGAAGTTTATTATACAGTGTACGAAATCCTTACCCCTAAATCTTTTAGTGCACTCTGATTGTATATAATATTGATCATATGATATATGATAATGATTAAAGAGCCCTAATCAAACTGTAATTTTATTTTATCATTGAGACTTGAGACACATCCTAATCAGGTGAACATCGATGCCTATGGGCCTCTTATTATTTTGTATAACTTTGAGACCAAATATATACACTACGAGATAACGCTTCCAGCAACTGATTTTACTTGTTCTTTCCAAAATGTCAATCCATTGAAATTTCTGAGTGAAGAGTTTCCAATAAATTAATTATATTTAAAAGTAAATGTACTGGAAAGTAGACAGGATGATTAACATAATAAAGGTGCTCACTACATTAAATTTTTATTCTTTAAAAAAATATATTCTAATATAAAAAGGATTTAAAATTTTTTTCAGCTCCTTAAAAATTTCTAGCTTTTTTTAAAGATGAAAAAATTTCTACATAGCAGCATCTCAATTCAGTAACTTTTCTGAATATTGTTATGTAGTGTTTCTTGTTCTCCATACCTACCAACAAAATATTTTCATTTGACTTCAAAATTTCCAAATTTTTTTTCTTTGGTTTTTTGATTAAGTTTCTATAGTGTATAATGATTAAGTACACTAAATACGTCAATATTTTAATATCTTTATTTACTAATGAAATTACACTCTAGAACTTATTATGAATATTGAAGTCTTATTGTCTCTTAATTATAATATCAAAACATTACATGCAAAACTTGGAGTGAGATGCGAAGACGACGAAAAATCATTAATTGAAAAGTCCAACTGAACAATACAATTGTGAGCAGAGTAAAACGGTGATCTCCGAAAAGAGGTGTGATCAGTATCAGGAGAAAATGAAAGAATTAGTTTGAAAGTAATATTGAAATTACCTTCATTAACTATGGTCAATTAAATATAGTAGAAACTTTGAACGTTAGTTTTCTTTAGTATAGTTTTGTTAAAGATCGCTCTAGGTGAGATAATGTTAAGATAGAAGATCATGGTTTATGCGTCTTTACATTGAAAAAAAAATCATTATTTTTTTAAATGTATATAGGAATACGCGTTTATATACTTGTACGAGAAATATTTAAAATGTTCTAAAGTACAATTTACTTCATTATTTCTTAGGCCTTATTAGCACCATTTTGCAGTTTTGATTAGTGTTTATATCAGATTTCATGGGAGAAGGCTGTGGTTAATTGACATCTTATTTTTCTTGTAGATTAAATGTACTCAATATTGGCCGAATATTAACGACAAAATGCAGCATGGTATTTTTATAATAAGAAACCTGGAAGAGAAAATATGTGCTAATTACACGTCCAGACGCTTCAAAGTGTGCAACAATCTCGTAAGAAGTTATAATTATATTAATTACAACGCCTAATTGTGAATTCATTTTTTGTTTGCAGATACCATTCCTATACAAGTAGAAAAACATTCTTATTAATATTTAATGTTTGATGCTTATGCTTATAATTCTAGAGATTTTTTTAGAATGAAATATTTTCATGTTTGATATATTTACCGAATAGAAAGATTCTATGTATATGTATATATGTAGATGTTTTTTCTTTATTGATTGATTTTTTTCATTGATTTTATTTATTGCTATGTATTGAACATATATTTGAATTAATTTTAATGTACTACATACAAATGCTAACAATCAAATATACTTTGTACATATTGAGAGCAAAACTCGCAGTTTACTTTCCTCTAAATCAACAGAAATGTTTTTCCCGACAAATTAGAAAACGCAAATTATAAACAGGTTATCTGGTACAAGGCCTTTCTTGGACAGGCCTACAGTTGAAATTATTATAGCTGTATCACATGATGAACATCTAAAAAAAAAACACAGAAAAAAGAAAGAACTGAAATTATTTTTTATATCAAGCAAAAAAAGACAGCATCCGAAATGTGATCTTATTTAAGCAAACGTAAAATCAACATACCTATCTGGACGGTTGTCATACGTTTTGCATTGTCACTTTCCCTTGAAGTTCTTATATAATTTCCCTCGATTAACAAATTAATTCAATGACCTCATATGCATTTATTCCTCGTATTATGGCGGGTCTAGATGCAAATAGACAAATATCCACTGTCTGTTCCATATTGCGTTATGTTTATTCAACTTGTAGGCGTTAATATAACACAATTGGAGTAAAAGATTGCAATAATTTGAATGATCGACATCGCATCAAAAATGCACGGTCAAAAAATGTGCACGATAGCACGGGTCTTATATACTCCATGCTGAAGGGAAAATGCCATCTTACGATAGATGCGCATGCTCATGATTATTTTTATTTGGTTTAATGTAAATAGACTCAAAATTTCCATAAAAGCATATATATCTGCAATTCCAATTAGGTTATACTTAAAATTTGTCTTTTTCTGCATTTTTTGGCATTATATATACATGTCATCAGCTCAAAAATATGAATTTAACGTTTTCTTTCAAACAACTGTATATGTATGCAGGATTTTAAGCATTGAAAAATGTTAAATTCTTGTCTTTAGTTCATGAAATCTTGTCTGCACTCAAGATCAGAGTAGCTAGGATTATCTAAGTCTATGAAACGCACAGCATGGACCAGTCTTATTATTCTAATCAGTAGGCGCTAGCATATTGTTCAATATCACAGCTCCCTGTAGCGCTACCAAGCTATTACAATCTTGAAATCACCAATGGATATTAGAATTAAACATGAAAATTGAATTATATTATCAAAAGAGTAATACATATATGAAAGAGAAAAATCGAAAGAACATTATTATATGAGTAATACGTGTATGAAAAAGATGGGTGTTCAGGAGGTATTTATGATCCAAGGAATGTATAATTAATCAAAATTATTCATTTGAAAAATCATGTCTACTTTGTTAAATTTATTTATTTATTTGTTTTTTTTTCTTCTGTTTCAAAAATATCATGAAGATCCGTGTTTTTAATAGAATAGTCTTTCATAAAATACATTGTTACGTCATACATATTATGACATCACTCTTTCATATGTTTTTTAATAAACAACAAAAACAATTTCACAACAGTAAAAAAAAGACATATCTCATCTTTTTCTGTTCTGTGTGTATTCTTGAACAACAAATCCCCAGTTTTCCCTTCCAACTATACTGGAAATTGAAGATGTTCTTACCCTCATATTATTTGTCCATCTAGCTGTCTAAGTGTCTGTCCACAGAGAAAAGGGGGGTGGGAATGAGAATTTTGAGATTGATTTTGGAGTTTTCAATACTTGAAAAAAGTAAATGAATAATCTTTATTGGAATTATTGAGGAAATTTGACCATCTGTGGCACACATCTATCAAGGATTCCGTTTTTGTTTTTATCAATAGTATATTTTATAACTGAATCTCACACAGTTACATTGCAAAAGAAGACAAAAAGTTCTCCAATACTTAGCGGAAACATCCTTTCTCTTATTGGCATTAATCGTTTTATTAATGTTAATTGGCATTTATTGCCTTTGTAACTACAATTATTTGCATTAAAAAGAAGAGCATGTTTTTTGAAAACGACTTAAAAAGAAGAATAAAACAGCTTATCAGTGTATTTACAGCTAGAAAGCTGGAATATAGGGTATCATTTGTATATGATGACAAATAGAAAGCAATTTATAAACCACGTAAAGAGCCAACAGAAAAGAAATCCACATAACTTTCTTATTTCTTAATTGAAGGAAAGAAAAGACCGTGAGATGCTGATGTTTCACTACACAAGATGGCCAGACCATGGGGTTCCTGATCCACTAAGTCTTGTTGTGTTCCATCGTCATGTGATGAAAACGTCACCACAAACTGGGAAATATATATTGGTGCACTGCAGGTTATATTGTAATATCTAATTATTGAATTTCATTACATTTATAAACTCTCTCTCTCTCTCTCTCTCTCTCTCTCTCTCTCTCTCTCTCTCTCTCATCGTTTAAAAATTCGTTCTGTGAACGTACTCTTGCGAACCTAATCCATTGTAAGACAGGAACACGATAATGGAATATAACTATTAGCAGGGTTCTTCATCATTTCAAATATAACTGTGACGCAAGACGTACGCGAAATTCAAAAGTTCGTGGTAATTTTTGGGACCGAATTTGAGAAGTAACCACTGACTAAATTGAAAAACACAGAGCTTTTCTGAATCACTAGATAATTTTTGTAAAATATTTTACAAATTGAAAAAAATTAATGATAACTAAAAACAATTGAGGGATATCGAATTTAACTTACAATAAAAGAAAAATTGAAACGTTACCGTTATATAAGTACTTTATGATACCCCCGCCCTTTCCAACACACCAACCTACAACATACTTATAAATTAACAAATATAAGCTAACAGAATCTGAAATAACAAGTTTAAAGTGTGAACCTGCTTTTTTTTTTTTTTTAGAAATAACTTTTGTTTACAAAATGTAAATTATACACATTCAGTTTTAGGACAGAGGAATTTCTGGTTGGTCTCACAATCAGGTTTTCATCTATAAGTTTGCATTTTTGGTCTCTGTTGACTAAGGTGTCTTAAAACTGGTGAATTATAAATACATTAGCTGTTTTGGGTCATAAAATAATATTTTGATGGATTTATTATTATTTTTTCAACTTTACAGAGATACATGATTACGATACACGTAGAATGTTTGACTCCTATTGTGAAAGCAATTTTAGGGACGTGGTAATTTTAAGAAAACCTAAGTAGTTTTAAGACTTAGAATTAAAAAAAATCATTTGCAATTACCGAGAAGTGCGAAATGAATGGTTTGTCTTTTTTCATTCATGCGTAAATTCCAACGAGACAATCGATTGTGCAAGCCAAACTATGAACCCTAATTAGAGTAAAATAGCGGTTAAGCTTAAGAAAAGCAGTTTATAATTTGAAGATTCATTTTTAAGTTTATGAATTTATACATTATTTTCATGAATAACTGTGACAATCTTACTGTGGTGCTAATATTTAACTGTGGCGGAAGTATGCACTGATTTTTTTTTTTACTTTGGCTCTATAAAATTTAACGCTGGCGGGGCCGCCATTTTAAATTGCCCATGGATATTCCTGTTTTTTTAGACAGGAAAAGTTAATGATGATCGGATGCCACCCAATTTGTTGTATAGTTGTTGGTCATTAACGTCTAGAGTCAGGAAAGCATCCAACTGAGTATGAAACAGGTGTAACAGACCCCAAAGCGTTTTTTTATTTGAGGTTCACTGGGCTATATCGGGTTGACATATTTAAAAAAATCAAGCAAGCAGAAACCAGATTTGCCAAATATATCAAAAGACTCAAAGCGTCAAATTCCTACTTGTACTTAGTGCAGGGGAAGATGATTTTCGAACTATGTTTCAAAATCTTGGATAAAAGTCAAACTAAATAAAACTGGAAGTTAAAATACATGTATGTTATTAAAATCGAAAAGTATTACTTTAAATAAATGTTGAGAAGTTAACTCATATTCATATTTACTCATGAGCTAATCTGCTCCAGAGTGCAAAAGTATTACGCATTTTCGAATGATTTTCTTTGCACCATGAGTAAATCCATATATCATCTACTGTTCTATTATTTTTGTATTATGATCCCAAAAGAATGGTTTCATACTTCATGAAGAAAGAGAATTCCTTCAAATGTATAAAGCAATGTGATTACAGTTCATGTATAATGTTTTATTGGGCTTAAAATTATAACAAAGGCCACAACTGGTTCTAAGTGATGTGCTTGAAAAAAAAATGATTAAAAATGGTTGGAGAAGTTAAGAATTGAAGAAGAGATTGATTTTTTTTCATCAGAGGAAGACTTTGTAAAATGCTTTATCTAGAAAAGCATAGATTGACCTCGTAGCACGCTTTGTTTGCTTTCACACAGCATTTCCCCTCCCATATGAATATTCAATGTTGCACCTGGCCCTGACTTGGTGTAAATATGCTTACAGGTGTATTTTTTGCATATATGCAGGTGCGTTTATACAGCAAGATAGCCAAATAAGTATATTAAAATATATATGCAAATTATTACACATGAGTAAAGACCGACATAATAACAAGGCTTAAGTATCTCATAATGAGTTGACGAGTCTTGTTCCTATCCAAAGGTCAAGTGTTCGAAAGGTCAGTGTGATCGAGATTGGACCTAAAATAGAATGTTTTGTTTTAAGATCAGTAGAACGAATTACAATAGGACGCCGATGTGGCAACTTTGTATTATACAAGCGTACCTTGCTAATATATATCATCGTATTAGTTATGTACTCAAATATTTCTGAAAAAAAACATGGAATGCAGTACACTTTTTTGTGTATGTCACAAAACCTTAATGTATCTAATTCGTGCATGAGAGCGCTAATTCGACAAAAAAAAATGCATATTTTATACAGTAGAAAACTGGAGCTACATGCACGTATTCCTTTGTAATTATATTCATATCTTCTTCGCCATCTTTTAATTTTGTACAACACATAGTTAAGATACAATCAATTAATTGGGTGTGTTTAATTTGGAAGGGAAAGACATCACACTAAATCATTTTAATAAATATTATTACAGAAAACTATTTAAAACATAGAGTAAAGCTATTTTTTAAAAGCTATTCTTAAATTTAAACATATTTAGAACTATATTCAGTCCTTCTTATTACTACAGTTAAACAGCTCATTAAAAACTCACGATATTCATCAAATAGTAGAAGCAACGCAATATTACTTAAAACTTGATATTACGAATTATTTTTATATGTTGGAATGCAATCTTAAAAATCCCTGACAATTTTTTTACTGTATTTTATTCCATGTCTCACGGTATTTTCTATACAACTATTTTTGCAAAAGTTATGCTTTGAGCAAAAGATATTCTATTGAAATTCTCAACAAATCAGCGTTCGCCTTATTTATACATGTAAGTATTCAGGCACATGCGCGTTATATATCAGATTATTCTATTTTAAATGTGACACAAAAAGGCGAGCCAACCAGTAGTCTTTATCAAATCAGACCAGTACCGGACTAGTTCTGTGTGAAAAACTGCAAATTCTCTAAGGAGAGAAAAAAAATGACTTTTACTTGAAAATTGCATTAACATTGCTAAGCATATCTATCTTTGAATATTTATCTAAAGAAAACATGACTTTTTTATTGCATATTTAAGGCTCACTTTTTAATCATGTATTTCCTTCCTAATGAATCTACTGAAAATTTTACGTCATACACACTGTTTGTCACCAAGTAAAATTTGTTAATTTTAGAATAGTACAATTAAGTGATCTATCTGTACAAATATCGGAAATGCTATTTTAGTTCTAATCATATATTTCGAATTATACTCATGTTCATTCCAAAGCTTGGATCACTAAGCAAATTTTATAATAAAATAGATGGAATTGAATTCAATTGCTGGTGTATTTAACATTCCATAGATTAATTAGATTCATATTGACATTTTCTGGTTTTCATTTGATGAAAAAAAATTAAACTTTTTAGGGCTGATGAACTGTTGAAGATCTGTATTCCCTCTTTCGTTTTGCTTTTAAAATTAGTGAATACAATATTTTTCTAAGTAAACAATAGGCTGGTTTCATATTGCACATTGCCGTTCATTGCTTATTTCAAGTCCAAGAGCCCTTTATGCAAAAAAAAAGAGTTTAATATAATGACTTTTTAAACATAGCCTATCGCAGGGTTGTATGTTTTTTTTTCTGGAAGGATTTACAACAATTGTTATGTCATTGTTTTTATGCTAAATGAAAATATGGAATACGTTGTCGTTATAATAAATACAAAAGGCTCACGGCGAATATGACCGGTCTACGGGGAATAATTACTTCTCCTAGGCACCTCATCCCAGCTGTGATGTTTTCTTGGTGTCAGTACCCTGATCACTATTTGTAGTCTTTACTGTATTATCTATATTGATTCTGTTCTTAATCTTCACCTTTAATGTTAAACAAAAAAAAGAACCATTGGAAAGTGATTGTGATGTAGCCTTAATGAAATATTCGCATGATGTACTTCTTATAGCGCTGGAATTGGAAGAACCGGAACATACATAGCTTTAGACGCCCTCTATCGAGAAGGGAAGAGAAATGGTCAAGTTAATGTACCAATGTATGTCAGGACCATGAGAAAAGACAGAATGAACATGATACAAGGCGATGTAAGTTTATATTTCTATTTTATCCCCCCCCCCTGAATTTCATTTGGAAACGAGACGACTTTAAATTTTTATTTTACATTTTCTTTTTACAAATTTAAAAGTCCAAGTCTCATATTAAATTTGATGTAAAAAAAAAAATGGTCATTTCTGAAAATCATTTTTAAGTTGTTGTTACCACCACTAGATTTTCCGTAAACACTTGTATTGATAAATCAGCGTAAACAATAAAAGAATTAAGAGGTGCTTCTATGGTTGTTTTAACTTCCTGTACATGCAATGATATGTACAATACTTTCCGCATTCTATATCTAATCGCAACAGGAAGGCAATATTTCTTCTTCTTATATAACATTATTAAGCCTCTAGTAAACAAAAAAAACTTTAAGTATTATGTAAAGTTTTCTTTCACATAGTTTAAAACAAATTGAAGTAATATTTCCCTTTAATTCACTCGTCATAATGAATTTTAAACGTAACTAGCTAGAAAGATTTCCTCATAGTAGCCAGTTAAAATTCTTATGTTGAATTTCCTCCAAAACCCTTCCTCGAATGAAGAGAAAAAGAGTTAAAGGTTAATAATCTTTTCCAATCGTGTCCTTGTAAACATGCAAAGAACCTTCCCTGTGTTACCTGTTCAAACATTTCCTTGTTGGTAAAGCTGTCTAGAAAGACGAATTACACCATTCTTTTTTTAGTAACTTGGCAGCAATAATTTTTTTTTAAAAGATAATCCCATTTTAAAACTCAATTAAAGACGAATGGATCGTTTATATACAAAACGTTATTTTATATTAAAGAAGAAAGGATCGTTTATATATAAAACGTTATTTTTTGAGAAGTTAATTTTTTTTCCAAAGGAAAGACAATCTGTACGCTCTTTTGCCTTAGTTAACAACTCTGTGTAAATGGTATATGACCTACATTAAAATTATAAAAAAAACATATATATTTTTTCATATAAGAATCAGTATGCTGCATCACGCAGCATATCTGAAGTAAATGTAGTTATTCTAACGAATTACAAGCAGTCAAATCCTTTGTCAACAGTTTTCTTGTAAGATAAGTATTTAGTAAACATTTAAAGGATTTAGAAAATGTCTAGAAAAGACAAAGAACTATATTAGTATTGCACGTAAACGAATAAATATGGTGTTAATAAGATTTCCAATGCTGAAATGCAATATACAATCTTTTTTTTTTTTTTTTTTTTTTTTTTTTTTTTTCTTTTGCCATTTCCAGTCTTTATGCTACTTTAATTACCATTTGCTCTCAATTGGTAAAAAAGTATAGGATTCAGTTTGATTAGTAAACTAAATATGATATATGGAAAAATTGATACAGAACTTCGATATCTCGAACACTGATATCTCGAATACCATGGATACATCGAAGTGATTTGGAAGTCCAAACACCTTATTCTTTAAGTATTTTACCCCTGATATCTCGAATCCTCGGATATCTCGAATTTTTTCCTCTGTCCCATCGAGTTCGAGCTCACGAAGTTTGACTGAATTTGCAAATGAATCATTCAAGATAGTAAGAAACAAGATGTGTTTGTGAAACACTGATGCCCCCGTATGGCAACTCATAGCAAAGGTTAAACTTTCCCAAATGCAAATCATGTTGGTACCCAAAGTAAGGACTTGTCCCGAGGAATATACCTGTGAAATATGAAAGCCCTAGCAGCAACCATTGAATAGATATTGAAAAGGTTAAAGTTTTTCAAAAGTAAGTCAAACATCAAGGTCAAGGTCAAATGGTCAAAAGTAATGGTGCCTAAGGAAAGGCCTTCTCACAAGAAATATACAGGTGAAATATGAAAGCTGAAGAACCAATCATTCAAAAGTTATGACCAAGGTTAAAGTTTTTCAAAAGTAGGTCAAACTCCAAGGTCAAGGTCAATGGATTACAATTGTTGGTATCCAAAGAAAGGTCTTGCCACAAGGAAAAAACATGTTAAATATGACAGCCCTAGCAACAACTTTTCAAAAGTCAAGGTAAAAGTTTTCCAAAAGTAGGTCAAACTGCAAGGTCAAGGTCAAAGGGTCAAAGTTGTTGGTATCCAAATGAAGGTCTTGTCACAAGGAATGATATGTGAAGTATGAAAGCCTTAGCACCAGACGTTCAAAAGTTATGGCCAATGTTAAAGTTTTTCAAAAGTAGGTCAAACTCCAGGGTCAAAGGGTCATAGTTGTTGGTGTATAAAGGAAGGTCTTGTCACAAGGATTACATATGTGAAGTAAGAAAGCCCTAGCTCCAGACGTTCAAAAGTTATGGCCAATGTTAAAGTTTTTCTAAAGTAGGTCAAACTCCAAGGTCAAAAGGGAAATGAAAGCCCTAGCACCAATTGTTCAAAAGTGATGGCCAAGGTTAAAGTTGGGAAAATTTTTGCAAAACTGGGTCAAACTCCAAGGTCAAGGACAAAAGGTCAAATATGGCGGTACCCAAAGAAAGGTCTTGTCACAAGGAATACACATGTGAAATATGAAAGCCATAGCTCCAACCTATCAAAAGTTATGAGCAATGTTAAAGTTTTTGCGGACAAACAGACAAACAAATAAACAGACAAACGGACAGACAGGGCAAAAACTATATATCCCCAAATCTTCGATACGGGGACATAAAAAAGGAAAGAATTTCAATCAATTGGAACATTCAATTTAATTCTTCCTTTCTTCTATTTATCGATAAAAATGCTGCTTTCGTCCGCCTTATTTCACAGAAGGGCAAGTAAACCGTATTATAATTTCATGAACGGTTATCTTATTTCATTGGCCGGGTGATAATTCAAAATACAGAATGGTACCTTCTGAAAAAAGATACAACACCCTGATGGTGATATCGTATGGCAAGGGGCTCAATTACTTACAAGGGCTGATATTATTTTTAAAAAAGTATGCTCGCGCAGATCACCATAGATTTTTAAACTGCATCAAGCCTTAGGGACTTTCAGAACACTCCGAGAAAAACATTGTCAATGAGGCAAAGCCGACAGGGTTTCGTGCCTCTTTGATATCTTGTCAAGGAAATTGTTTTTTTTTTATTCACTCCTAGAAATCTTTGTTCACAATGATTTCTCGGGATTCAATTTTTTTATACTAAAAACCTACTAGCAATATTTATATTAAAAAATTGATTTATTTCAGATTCTAGTTCCGATTTTTGCCTACAATATTGTGAAATCAAAACAACATATTTCTTTAATTGAGTATATCATGATTTTAAGCATATTTGACATTTGTACATGTTTATGTTTAGTATCATTCTTCAATATATATTACAACTTCTTTTCCATCAGGACCAGTACAGAGTCGTTTATCTCGCACTTTGTGAATCGTTCAGTGGTAGATCCAGATGTTTGACAGCTGAAAAACTCTCACAACAATCGCAAGATAGATCTTGCTACACAAACTGTGGGGAAGTTGCTCATGCAACTTCCTTGTCGTCAGAGTTCCCGGTAAATTCATCGTACTTAGCAGAACACAATGCACTTTTTTTTTTATTTGTAATCAAATCAAAAATAATTAATATGATTCATATACGGGTAAAACCTATCGAAATGATTCCCATTGAAATTTAATAATAGTTGTACTTTTTGCACATACAACTTTAGATGATACCAGTAATCATTTAAAAAATCAATGTAGAAATCTATCACAAATAAAATTTGCTTTAATTTAGTTGTACAGTGAGTACATGAGTTTATTCCTAATTTGTAGGAGTTACTGTCTCTTCGGATAAAATATGCAGAGAAAGATTACGAATCTGGACATACAAACATATCAGCCAACTATACAGAGAGTGTTTTGCCGGGTAATCTTTAATATTCTCTACATCAATTTCTAATTCCATGTATTTTCGTTATATTGGAATTCTGTAGCAATATCTAGATGGAAGAAAAATAATAAAATTTATAATCTTTGTAAATTTCTTGAGGTTTTTGTACAATCGACTAAAAATGCAGAGGTCGGTATGCAGGACATAAAATTTTTCTTCTTTTTTTTTTTTACATCAATTCTTTGTTGTCTAGTACGTGTTGGAATTGATGGTAGAAATATTTGGAAAAAAAAATATCCTGCAAATAACATTGTAAATTTCTTCAAACTTTTCCTAAATATTTTAACCATTTTAAAACACGGATTTCAGTGGAAAAGTTCATGTGCTATCTGTCCTATACAAAGGGAAGGAACAACTACTACAACGCTGTTCTTCTACAGGTCTGATATTTATAAGTACACCATTATAATGTCCTAAAGTGTAATTCTTTCCTAGTAACATGAATTAAAATTATGTCTTCCATATGCATTAAATGGCTGATCTAAAAGATGAGACGAAAGATTTCTCACTTAAAGAGGGTAATGATTTTCTCAATGTCTGCTTATTAAACCATATATTTAACGGGTTTTTTGTACATATATGAAATAATTTTTAATATTTAAATATTAAATCCAGCTTAATTTGTTCTCTGTGATTACTCATAAACTTGAATATACTCGTTCTTAAAAAAAGGAATTTTTTTCTAGTCTTTCACTGAAAATGACTGTCTAATCAGCGCTCAGTACCCACTTCCTGACTACACTGAAGACCTTTTGAGACTCATCAGAGATTTTGATGCTCGTGTTGTGGTTTTCCTAGGTCTTTTGAAAGAAATAAAATCTGTATGATAAACATATCTGTAATTGAAAGAAGTAGTAAGAAAATAATATATAAGTACTTTTGATTTAAGAGATGAATTTAGTTTTTGAGAATTCATGAGGACATGAACTACAACGCTTCACGCGGGCATATTTCAAGAAGCGCGTTAACGCTTCATGTTAAATATGCAGGCGTGAAGAATTGTAGTTCATGTACTTCATGAATTCTCAAAACTTAAATTCATATCTTATGTTTTTATTATATTTCTGATGACTTGACACACATTTTTGTGATTCAAAGATCTTTTTTTTTACTCCAATCACATCACAATCGAAATATTCTTACTCATCCCATGGTAACTTATGAGAACATGAACTTTTTCTAATTTGCAAAGAATCTTAAGGCAAAATGCATGGAAATGTAAATATTTTGATATTGAAGTGCAATAGATACAAAAGCTTAAGGAAACCTGTAAGTGATATCATTTCACCAAAAAACGGATTGCATGTAATCTCCTGACATTCTTGCTTAAAACAATCAAATAAATTTGTTTCATTTTTTTCCAGTCATCTCTTTGGGTTCCATCAAAATCAGAAAATAAAACAGTGGGCAGTTTTGTACTTAATCTAGCAACATCAACAAATTCAATAAACTTTACAACCCGGAATATAGTTTTGCAGCCAAAGGTTTGTTTTGTTTACATATCATAGTTCTTTTTAACTTTGTATCCGAAAGGCCATATGTTACATGAAACTCAATTTCAATGTTGTAGGGAGGCAGCGACATGACACTAACTGTAATGGAATGCAAGACCTGGAAAGAAGGAAGGTTTCTTACCGACAAAAGAGTCTTACTTGATGTGGTCAAAGAGGCAAAATCAGAGAAAGATAAGCAAGAGGGGAAAATACTTGTTTTGTCCAGGTACGTCTCAGCTCTGTATATCTTCAGGCAATTGTTTCACTATATTCTGATGAAAATCTACTCGTGAAACATATGTCAGTAACACCTTGACGTTTTAGCAATGAGTTCCAGCTTTGTTTTATGGACGTCAATATGCTAATCAGCTTGCACAGAAAATGTCTTCACAACTAAGTAATTTTCAAAGCAATTATTTTCAAACGCACATGAATTTCTTGTTATTATTTTTTTTCATGTGCTTCATTACCTTTATCTGCTAGTGATGGAGCTACACGTTGTGGAGCATTTGCTGTTGTCTATAACGCTCTGGAACAACTCTCGATGGATAAGGAAGTGGACATCTTCACCATCACACGACAACTTCAGATCCGTAGACCGGAGTTTGTGTCTACTTTGGTGGGTGCTTTTACACTCTAAGTACGCGTTAGATTGAACTGTAGATTATTGTGATCTTTTCAAACCTTTTCGATATTTCCACCTGCATTTTACTTTCGTTATTTGCAATGGAGCAAATTGTAAAATCTGATTCTCTTGTAAGTAAGGTTTTAAAAAGAGTTCTTAAATTTGAGATAAATCTATTTTTGTCTTAAGCTTTCCCTGTTACAATATACATTCTTAATCCCTCGAATGCATAGTCCAATTATTTAATGCTTAATAACATGTTTTGATTTTGAATATGCATATCATTTATGGTAATCCCATACTGCCATACTGAATAAAGAAAATTTTTACTAGATGTAACATTTTATTTTCTGTTTTTAGGAGGAGTACCAGCTTTGTTATGATGTCCTTGCAGAATACATGCAGAATGACAGTGTTTACGCGAATTGTTAGACAAAGGGAAGAAACTTTTATTTTATAACTTATCACATAATATCTTTAACATTCGTGGTTTATTTAAATCATACGATGAACCTTTGTAATTAATGTAAAAACTTTTGATCTACGAAATCAAAAGAAACTATACGTATTCATTAATCTTTCGAGACTTTTTCATTAGTGATAAGCTTATTTGAACTGCTTTTTAATTTTTTTTTTAAATTATTTATTGTATCACTTTGCATTGTGGGGTTTTGTTAAAACAACATTTATTTTGTGAAATATTTTTTAATGTTTTTGTCTTATTTCAATTTTCATTGTAATCTATTGTAAAAGTGTAATTTTTCAGTTTATAATGTCATTGTATGGATATATGTAACACATCATCTACGTTATATTTGTCGTGTAATGTAATCACTTAGAATAGGTTTCTAACACTCATCAAAAAATACCTAGGTGGCAATTAACAGAATGTGTTTATCCAATCAAGCTTATTTTTTATACTAATTATCTGTTTTATGTTTATTGTTCAACTTGAAATTTTGCATCTGCCGTAGGTACATAAAACATGTTTTCTTAAATTTTGTTGCAATATTTTGTTATTTTTTTTATTTTTGCTTTATAGTTTACTTCAGAAATTTTCAAGTGAACTACCGGTATTCAGTTAAAAATTTATGCGTCTTCCATCTGTCTGTACGAGGGCTGTTCGGAAATTATTGAGACATTTTGTATATTCTTCTTTCTCATGAACGTTTTTCGGTGAAAATTTGCATATACGTTTGACAAACTCTAAGAAGTAATAAAAACAAGAAATATTTTAAAAATAGTTTATTTCATCTTTTCAATGGAATATTAATGTGTCAGTGGTAGGGGTACCCGGCGCAGTATCGAAATCGGATATTGACAATATGTAACACCAACGTTAAAACTCCCAGTGGATACATAGTAAGAGAGAAAATAATTCAAATTATGCATATAATATTTCAATTTAACTTTGACTTCATTTTGTGCAAGTTTGTTAGAATTTCGATCAGAAATACGGAGATCATTAAAATATTTACGCGCGGTATAGCTATCTGATAACGACGACAAAACGGATTTTGACGTCAAGGCGGAGCAGCGATCATGCCTAAAATTTTGTGTAGCGGTATTGAGAACTCTTGTCCAGACTAAACGACCTGCTAAAACAATAACAATGCAATAAAACAAGTCTAAGAGTTTTTTGTTTCATTGGTATATATCATTTTCTTACAAATAATTCAACCAGAGTAAAAATAAAAGCCCCGGACGACCATCAATTATTACGGACCAAATAACGTTGACCCGCGTTGCATAACTCGGTACTGCATGATGCTAAGTCAACCTGTATTTGACACTTTTTGTATATTTTACACTGGGGTAGCAACAGCATTGTTTTTTGTTTTGTTTTTTTTTTAAGAATCGATTGAGAATTATAAGACACAGTTTGATTTTTGAAATGTTATATGTAATGATAGAGGAAGTAGATTGAATGCTTTCTGGTCATTTCACAATGAGAATATATCGGCTGACCTGACGTTAAAATGACGTAGCGATGCTGCTCCAGGTCAATAGACATATGCTTGTTTATAATTTCACCGGAACTTATTTAATTATCCTATAAATTAGAAATTTTGTACATTTGTTTTGTTTGTTCTTTAAAAAACGTTGACGAATTTTTATGAATTTATCTCTCTCCTTTGTGGAGTAAAAGTATCTGTCTCAATAATTTTCGAACAGCCCTCGTATGTTGTAACTTTTCAGATTTTTGACTTCTCTAGAGACAATGAACAAATTTTTAGCAGATTTGCAGCAAAATATTCTTTGATGAAGGAAATTTTAATTTTTTGATGAAAAATGAAAAGCCATTGCCTCTTCAGAGGAGAGATAAAACGAGTCTTGATGTATTACAAAACTTCCTCAAGATCCACTAGATCAGAAAAGGTAAAGTATATGTGGAACCCCCCTTACTGAGAGAAAAATTTAAATCTGATCAAACCAATTTCCCAGAGCTAGAGTGAGGCAAGCTAGGGGAATGCAACTTTACATAAGAATATTTATGAAAAAAAAAATCAAGATCAACAGGGTCGTAATTAGTCATATCAAAAGTTATGAAATACTATTTCTCCTTCGCGTCTTCAAGAATACCTGGTATTACAATTCTTCTGAAAGTATTTTGCCGAGCTTTACTCTTCATAGCTTCACACGCACTTTTGGCCATAGGTTTATGAATGTGGGAAACCAACTGTGACGTCACTTTTACCGACCGTGAAATTACATATTTTTCTTCGGATCAAATTTTTATGTATGTTTTTTTTGGTATGAGAACATAATAATGGTTCATGGCAATTTGATTTCGTGGTCAAGGCGTTGTCCAAGGGGTTGTCGCCCCGAGTTCGTCCACGGCCACAAAATTGGAAAGTCTTCTATTACAAGCAACAGGTATGTTATTCAAAACTGACCCCGATGCTGTAAACTTAGATTTGAAGCAGGGTATCCAAGTACGCATAACCTTAGATTTCACAAGATAACTCAGCCAAACCATACCCATACACAATGGTCATGTATCAGCAAGTTTTCTGAAATTGTTTATTTTTCAATATGTCTTCAACTACCAAGTTCCTTTTTTACAGAAGCCACTTAGAGACGATGCAAGGCAAACTCCTTTTAAGTTTCAGAAAGATTGGCTGAATAGTTACTGAGATAAATGACTTGAAAGAATTTTGACTTTTATTCTGTTTTAATGCAACGAAATCAATTTTGAAAATTTAAAATGTCGATTGCATAATTAAAAATTGTACTTATATTTCTGTAAATTTTATTAAGGTAGTTCAAGCCATTTGCAAGAGCAATTGCGCACAAAATTATAGGTGCTATAGTAACAATATATTCATAGTCCCGTCTTGGTTCAGGGTGACCTAATAATGCAAATTCATGTACATGAATACAGTAGCAAAGCACACATTCTATCGTCACCTTATATTTAATGTATATACTATAACATTGACAGCTTTGCAAAAATTTACAATGAATATTTTAACATAATTTGAACATAATGAAAATAGATTCTGATGTATATCTAATAAATAAAGCGTAACTATGCTTAGTAAGAAAAAGGAAAGGAATTTGTAATGAAGGTATTTTGCATTATTACTGTTATAATGTAACATTTTCATAACTTATGTTATTTTTTAATTCTTGATAACTTTGCTTTCCAGGCGGAGTTATTCCTCTTTCGTATCGGGTGTGCGCAGGACTTGAGGCATCTTTTAAAGCAACAGAAGTTGACTTTTTGTTTGGGCATCTCCTTCTCAAAAAAGAAAATTAGAAATTATTTTACTTTCCATAATTTCCTTATGTTGACGGTGATTGTAAAACAAATCACTATATTCATTTACCAAAAGAAAGAAATATCAAATCTTTGCAAACAACGAAATTCTAAATCCTAAACAATTAAATGCAGAATTACCTGAAGTGTTTAAAACCTGCTATGAGTACAAAACACAGATTCAAAACCACTGACAGGAGGAGTCCTAGAAACCAGATCAAAGGAATCGGAAGAACAGGATCTGTAGAATCTGTAGAATAAAATAAAATCCACTTAAGGAAATCAAGAATGAGTTTGTTATACCGATAAATATTACATGTATACAGTAGATTATAAAAAAGGACAAAAATCCTTCAAAAAGCGCAATCCTTCAATAAGCGTAATAATTTACCAATAAGAATATGGATGAATTTTGTTTCAGTAAAAACATTGTTTTGACATTATTTTTTTTTAAGGAAAGAGAGAGAAATGGAATAATAAAATAGCATTTCACTTTTGAGATCAACAAAGAATAATTAATTTTCTTGAACTGATATTTTCAAAGTTAATCATAAACATTTTTTTTTTCAGAATTACCTGTCCTTTGTCGACAGTTTCCTGTCATTTTTAAGCAGTTTGGCCCTGTGTAGGGTTCTTGACATCCCCTTGGACAAGATCCGTTGTATCTTTCGCATGTGTCATTAAATCCACAGTGTAAACTGCACTCGTCGTTACAGTTTTTTCCGTAATATCCAGGTGGACATTCTTGATTTTCAGAAAAAATGGAGGGGATTGCATTTGTTAGTGTATTTTGCTATTGTTATGTAATATAAGTAATAATAGATTATACAGTATAAATTATTAAGAAAACCATATTTATATATTCTAAATACCTTGGTTACAGTTAATGCCCATCCAACCATAGGAACAAGTACAAGAGCCGTCAGTGTGTTGACAGGTGTCGATGCATTTTGGAGAGCATTTCTGAGAACAATTTCTACCATAATATCCTCCTTTACACACTACATAATGAATGATTTAGACATATCTGTTTTAATAGTAATAGTTTTTCAAAAAGCTTGCGTCGCCTGCGTGGCCGAGTGGTTAGAGCGTCTGCTCTACATCGTGGGTTCGAATCCTACTACAGGACGTAAACACAGGTCCTTCGGATGAGACCGTATAAACCGAGGTCCGGTGTCGCAGTAGGTGCTGGCACGAAAAAGATCCCTAACTGCTCAACGGCCCTAAGTGCCAAGTATAGGTCAAAATATGTAGCCCTCCACCGGCAAGTTGTGGCATCTCCATATGAGTGAAAAATCCTCGAAAGGGACGTTAAACAACAAACAAACAGTCAATCAAAAAGCTTGCCTGATTATAACCATTACTATCTGTAGTGTGTATAAGGTGACCAACGTTTTACTTCATTGCAGCGTTTGTGTCATATTGAATGAATAGAAAAAGGATTTTTTTCTAGAAAAACTGTTTAATGAAGTTCTTAGTTATTTTTTTTATAGATGCAAGTTACGGAACATAAATGATATCAGAATCCTTAACCCCGTAGTGTCAAACGTGTTTCGGTGCGAAACGCTCCAGGAAAAACTTCTCTGGGTGCGAAATGTTTCATTACCGTATATTTTGAAGACTTTCAATGAGTGGATTTTAACAGAACATCAGAACTCTTTTGAAATGTTACCTGTATCCGATCAATCAC